AGACACATCCAGCACCTGCTCAAGATATTGTGATTGGAACACATTAGCCACAACAATGCCTAATTAGGTTCCATCAAATTAGCACCTTACAGTACAGGAAATTAATCCTCAATTACCACGGGGCCTTCATCATGAATGTAAAATGGAGACAAGATCAAGGGTTGAACAAACAACGCCCAAGCACAAACAGCACAGAGCTGAAAGAAAAGTCGCCCAATCAGTACAAAGAGTACATAATATGACAAATAAATGTAGATGGACTAGCATTCCTTAAAAAACCAAGAGCTGCTATAAGCACCCACAGCTGCATTATGCCAAACGCCAGCACAATATATACGAAGAGCAGAAACTTTGGATAATGCCAGCAATAACTCGTGATTGAATGCCACAAGAGCGCCTGGAAATAATGAAGCCAGAAATACAGCGATGTACTCCATCTGTATGCCCTCACTGCTTTTCCAGAATGTAGTGCCTACAAAAGCAGTTGTGAGATTCATGTACTGCTACTGCTAGGTCTCAAAACATGTCAACTGATCAGGTATATGACACAATAGTTAGCCAATTGTTAAATCAAAGATCATGAACGTTAACTGATGCAATTAACATGCTTAACAACATATCTATTATTTGTTGTGCAGCCATGAGGCTTATATACAAAGATTTCATAGAAGCTATTAATCATGCATAGAAAAAAGTACAAGAAATGTTAACTGCATCTTATCCTAGAAACTCTGTGCCACTACACTTTGATACCTCGTTTCCTCCAGCTCGATCAATTCATTGGTGAAACTCTACTAGAAAAAGATTCATACCCCTCGTTTCCCACCAGCCCGAACACACATGTAGAGAACTTTCCGCCATTCAGAACCCTTTGGGTAAAAGGAAGAGAATTCAGGATACTCAAACAAAAGCACCGAAGCACATGATGGGTGAACTGAGATTCATATTCTTGTCCTTTGAGTATCCATTGTTTGGGCTTTGGCTTTGGTTTTCTTGTTCCAGAGGTGTGATTAACAGGAGCATCAGAGGAAGAAACATCTGTCAGTCTGTTCATGTAACGAACTCTCTTCCTTAACATACCCTGATTATATTGCTCAATAACAGTTCAAAAATTCTCAATCATCTCTAAGTAAGCCTTCAATGAAGCCAAAGCTTAGATGCACTGCCATTATTAATCTACTGGACTGAAACCACAGATACTCATCTAAAGAGAAAATTATTCATCATTCTTCGTATATGCATTGTCCCACGTGTATTATTTTCTCCCAGNCATCTGAGTGTTGCTATAATAGAGACACAGTATCTGGCCGATTTCATACAAAAGAATCTGGCAAGGATGAAGAAATGCTAATTCAATGGGCAGAAGTTAAACAAAATGGGAAAATCCTTTTTCCTTTGCTATTTTCAAACATTAATTAATTAGGAGATATAGAAGAAATAAAACAATACTGAATCTAGCAGGTGACTGACCATAGTAACTGCAGCCAACACGGCAAGACTAAATCCAACACCCATTGAGAACCAAGCTTTCAAGCACCTGCAAGAAAAGTAGTCACTTAGCAAGGCATAAAAGTTAAAAATAAGCCCAAACAGCTCCCTACATAATATAAAAAAGGTAAAAGTTGCAAAGAACAAATAAATAAATAAATAAATATTAGATATTTACACATAAATATATAATATTAATATAACTTAACATATATACATATTTAAGCACAAACTATAGCATATAGTCAAATACAACGAGGTTTAGTGTCAACACATTAAAACTTCCACAATCGCAAGGGATGGCCTAACAATTGAAGAGTGGAATAACAACCTTGCAAACAAAGGTTTGAATCCCAATGGAGGCCGCAGAAGGTGAACTCTTCCCATTTATTTAATTCTTGGTAGGTTAAGTTACCCAGTATTCATGTTGGTGAGAAATAGCAGGAAACCGGTGGACTAGTCGTGCAAACCAACCCGGCCACTATTAATATAACAAAAATTAAAGAAATCAAATAAGTTAGAATCTTACTTATCCAAAGAAAACAGTTAGGTTAGAAATTATAATCCAACCTCATTGGGCTTGCAAAACAAGTTTGATCTCATAGAGCTAGGTTGTGCCTAACCTTCTCATATTATGTAATTCTTGTGTGCATATTGTGAGAAAACAAGGGAGGCGAGAGTTATTGATTACTTGATAATTTGATGAAAAGATCCTAGCTCTCCCTTGTTTCTTTAGCTCAGGCTCTATCTTGTTTTCTTCGCTTCTTTTAAAGAGCTGAGATTCGACATCTTAAATAGCTCTTAGTTTTTAAAGAATGCTTCTAGTCAATCTACATTTGTTTGTCAGTTAACAAATATCACCTCTCGGTCTCTCACAGTTTTCTCAACTCCTAGCTCATAAATCAAGTATGTTAGATATCTTACCGTCCAGAAAAAGGTTAAGCTTAGAAATCTTAAGCTAACCTTAGTGGGTTCACAAGCCAGCATGATCTCATGAAACTGGCTTCGCCAAAGCTAAAACTTCTTATAACATATGAGTATATTCTGCAACAACACGAGCGACGCGAGATTTATTGATTACATAATTTGATGTATACTGTGAGAAAGAATACACAATTTCTCACGGGAAAATTATATTGTTGATGTACCTTAACTATAATACAAGAGCCCCTATTTATAACAATATACAAAATCTGCGATACTCCTATTCCATGTAGGACTACGCTTATTTACATAACATCTAGCTATCTAGCACTCACCCAGAAGCCGGTGCATACAAATCATATGTATCGAGCTTGTTACATATGTAACTACTACGAGGACCAGCGAAGGACTTGGTGAAAGTATCTGTAAGCTGATCATTCAACTTCACAAAATTTATAGCAATATCCCCTAAGAGTATCTTTTCTCTGACGGAGTGACAGTCAATCTCAATGTGTTTAGTTCTCTCATGGAACACCGGATTTGATGCAATATGAAGGATAGCTTGATTATCGCACACAAGTTCATCTGGCTAATTTCACCAAATTTTAACTCCTTGAGTAATTGTTTGATCCAAACTAGCTAACATGTTGCCAAGCCATTACTCGATATTTTGCTTCTGCACTAGACCGAACAACCACATTCTGGGTCTTTGTAGAGACCTCCATTGAAGTTCAAAATACATTGTCAGTGAGCTTTTGATGCCATTTACGGCAACATCGGGAGTTTGACCCCAAGATTTCCGCAGTCGATTGAGGTAGAAGTCATCAATTGCGACGTCGGAGATGATCAAGACGAAGTTAATGGCAGTCTTTCGTTGGATGTCAAAGATTGAGGTTGCCTTCCCCATCCGGCCATTGAAGGATGGATTTCAGATGAAGTTGAAGAAGAGAGAGATGATTGAGGCCTCATTTTATTTGCACTTAATAGAGGTCTGAATCTTAATCATTCAGATCTCAGACATTAAGTGTGTTTATTTTTAAAGTCTGAATCTTCATTATTCAGATTTAATTATTAAGTGTGTTTGTTTTTTACTTTACAATCACTTAATGGGTCTGAATATGTCTGTATGATTAAGATCTATAAAGACTTAATTTCATTAAGATGCTATCATCCACTTCATTATTACTGCCGCCACCGCCTATCATTATCAATCACCACCAGTCCACCACTATACTCAACCACCACCACCATCATCCTCAATCATAGCCGCCACCATTATCAACTACAACCATCCATCATTCCCACCACCATCATTCTCAACCACAACCATACACTCATACACCTCAACTACCACAACTAGCCACCTCATCACCATCAACAAATATAATCGGCACTGCCATCATTATAAACTACCACCACCCACCATCACCTTCCTCAGTCACAACTACCACCACCACCCACCATTAATAACTATCACCACCTACCATCATCATCCTCAATCATAATCGGCGATTTTTAAAAGCAAGTTGAGGTTAGGGTATGAGACGATCAATGTTTTTAGTTTCCTATGCTCCACAAATTGGATTAGATGCAGAAGCTAAAACTAAGTGTCTGTGACCAACTTATCTTTATTGGGGGAGATCTTTATGTAGATAAAGATAGTGACGGTTTTCGCTAAATGACAGAGGGAATATGGTTATGGAAGTTGGAATGATGAAGGAAAGGTGGTCCTATATTTCTCTCTAGCTTATGATTTAGCATGTAGCTCACACATATTTAAAAAAAGAGTCTACACCCAATAACATTTAGTTGTAGCTTATGATATATATATATAGTCGTTGTCCAGTGTTTACGTCGCACATAATAAGAGTATCATGTGCACATGATATGTGGGAGATCATCATAGAATACTTGGCCTCCTCAAGATCTAAATATGGAAAAGTACTTCCAGAACTGTATTTAGTCATTTCAAGCCAACATGTAGGTGCATATTTTTCTCAGCTTTATATCTGTTGAATCATTTTCTTTCTCTAGGCTGCGGGATGATGACGAAGGGGAAGAGAGGCTTCTGTAGACGAGACAAGGTAGAAAAGAAAGAGGAAAATAGTTCATAAAAATGTCAATAATGAAAGTCGTACTGCTATATTATCTCTAATAACTTGCTATCTCACTTTATTTGTTTATTTTTTAATTGGAACCTTAATTTGTATTGAACTAGTTGTTCTTTTTTTACTTTATTTTTTATAGTCGTAGTTCCTATTTTTTCTCTTTAATATCTAGGGAACCTCTTGATAATGAAAAGAAGTAGGAGGTCACATTTTCAGAGATTGAGAATGTTCAACTGGGTCTTCTTGCTTTTTTCGTTTAGCTTTTCTTCAACTTTTAAATTATATAAAGAGTTTTGTCATGAATATATTTCATTCTGTCAGCCCGGATGTAGTGCGAAATAAGAAAGGTAATCTTTATTTGTGCGGGATATTTACCTTTCTATGTTATCTAGAAAAACTTCTAAGAAGAAAAACAACAACAAGAAAACAAATAAGGAGGATTCTGCCAAGAGAAAGTACATTAACAGTAAATCTACGAAGTAGAAAATTAGAAATATGTAGGAAGAGTTTAATTACTTCTTTAACGAAGATATCATGTCACATTGAAGTTACCAAATATTATTTTTTGTTGCTCCTCTTCAAAATTAGGGGAAGAGTCAAGGCAGATCTGCCAACTAAGTGTTACATCTCATGTATGAAACATTTAATGGATGCTATAAAGGAAAATGATGCACAGTTAAATGCTCTGAAAGATCTCGACATACCAGTGCGTTCTATTAGTCTGAGTTTAATTGAGCAGCTGCCTAAGAGGTTTGACACCCATTCTCAATCATTTGATATTGGAGGTTCTAGAATGTCATTTTGTATGAAGGAGGTGCAAGATTGTCTTGACTTCCAATGTGTGGGCAAAAATGTTACATTTATGACTTGAGTGATAAAAATATCGAACAGTCAATTTTAGTACTCAAAGAATATTTTCCTGATATTGATTTAAGAAAACTCTCAAAGACGACTGCCCTCGATAAAATTAGAACTTTTCCCATGGATGCTAACGGTTGGAATGATGATTTTTTGAGACTATGTATATGCTACATGTTCTCTATTTTTTTTTTCCACAAACCAAAATGGAGTTGTCATTTTGGCCCCTGGTGTACTTTGGTAGTTCAATGGATAAATTTGAGAAACATAATTGGGGAAAGGCTATCTATGATTTCTTAATTCTCTATGTTAGGAGATTTAAAGAAGGGAAGGTGGTGACCTATTTGCAAGGATGTTTGCCACTGTTGGAGGTCAGAACCAAATTAATCTTAAATAAATATTCGGCCCATAATTTGGCTAAGATATGCAGCTCATTTTATCTATTTATTTTGAGTTTTTTGACATGCATTAGATGACCGAAAGCTGAAATTGAGTATCAGTCTAAATGTTGTAGCCTCTTAAGCTGCCATTGTTACCTATGATAAAGGTGACACCATGAGCTCGGACAAAATACGACACGCTTTGGTTTTTTCAAATTTAGTGCTACACAAACTCACAATGATTTTCCTCTAGTTGTATCTGAAATTTATTAGTTCACAGAATTAACATCATCGTTCACTGGATTATTATTGTTATCCAAATAGCTAAAAAAACGTGTGACACCTGCACTCTCTCAGATAATGTTGTGGTAGAATCGCCAAAACAGCAGAATGTCGGAAATACATCCGAACAGCAGGAAAGCACATCCAACGACGAGAGATGACAGACGATTCGCCAAAAGGTTTGATGATTCTTCTCCTCGGCGAGGTATTGTTTGCTTATCAATCTTTAGTTTGAAATCCAATCTATCATATATTTTCTTTCAATTCACATAAGTCTATTGTTGTTGTTGTTGTTGTTGTTGTTATTATTGTTATTATTATTATTATTAAAGATGGTTATTCTATAATAGGTAATGAATTATAAAGCATGTTCAACATCACTAATAGAAAAGCTCAGACACGACAAGGCTTCTCTTTCTCTTGACTTTCATCATCCAATTTGTGAGGCTTTGCGTGAATTTCTAGACAAATAGCTTGGTTTGCCATTTCAGTATGATTGGTGATGTAGGGCTTTAAATTATTGTGGTTCATGCTTGCATTGTTGTTTTTGAGCAAGGTAACAGGAACAACAATGCAACAAGGTAATAAGTTCTTGTGACCTTGCTCAAAACAACAATGCAAGCATGAACCATAATAATTTAGAGCCCTAAACCACCAATCATACTGAAATGGCAAACCAAGCTATTTGTCTATAAATTCATGCAAAGCCTCACAAATTGGATGATGAAAGTCAAAAGAAGGAGAAGCCTTGTCGTGTATGAGCTTTTCTATTACTATTGTTCAACATGATTTACAATTCATCACCTATTATAGAAGAACCATCTTTAATAATAATAATAATAACAATAATTGACTTGTGCGAATTGAAAGAAAATATCTAATAGATTGGATTTCAAACTAAAGATTTGATAAGCAAATAAT